TTAACAAGGCAATGAAATACTTATTGTTGGCATTTCTACTGAACTGCAGTTATTCTAGTGGGCTTATTACCAGGCGTGGGCTTAACACAAGGTAAATACAGGGTCATATTCATTCAGGTAACTAGATGACATAACATTAGCTTATCTTGGCACCAAATCCAAATTACTTTAATGTTGTGTGTGTGATCCATTCACTGCAAAATGCAAAGTGTTGCCTCCATCCCCTGTAGGTGCCCCTACCCTTTTTTGGTCCAAGCATCCCATCCATGTACAAGTCTGGGGATTAGGTGGACACAAGGGGTCAGGACACGTGATATAAGGGAAGACTGGAGAATCGGAATACTAGCATGGGGTGGCAATAGGAAATACTAGTGTCTTTTATCCCATTCCTGTAACCTCATCCCACATCACTTCCTGGTCTCCCTAATGATCGAGAGTGGGGAAGTTATGAGATCGGGAGACAAGAAAAGGGTGGCAGAAGATAGTCAACATAGGTTCAAATCTAGATCTTACTATTGTATATGATTTACTTGACAATATGTGTTAGTCAAATCTGTATTAAGAGACCTTCACACTCGAAAAGTCCAAACAGTGGTCCATCAACACAGGGGGCCTCTTAACTCATTCACCCCTGAAGACACATTTGAACTCTTCCAACTCATAGGTTTGAATAGTTCATTATGAAATTTCAGGGGTGAATGGGTTAATACAGGTTCAGCTCACAATGAAATCACTTCAATGGGTAACATCTGAAGTGGTGGTCTCTTAACCCTTTCAACCCTTGGTAACTTAAGTAGACCCTATCATACATTTATTTGGAGGAGTCCATTATTGTCTAAAGTGGTGAAAGGGTTAATTGCATAAGCAGGTTTGACTGTACAAGTATGTATCTGTATCTTTGTATTACAGAATGCCTCCTCACCACTGAGGGGGCGGACTTATTTTACAGGTGAATGACAGCTGCCTCAGCTGATTCAGATGAGGACCAGGTGCAGCACACTACCCAACAGCTAATTGTTTTCCACTCCACATCCCTGTGTTACGGGATGGCGAGACTTCAAGTTCGTACTCAGACAACCCACATCCTCAACTTTCTATTGTTCTAAATTTGCTTTCTAACTATAAGCAATAAAGAAATGTTACAAAACAGACAATAATTACATAAGCTCATTAACTCATTCACCCCTGAAGACGCATTTAAACTCTTCCAATTCAAAGATTGGATTAGTTCATTATGAAATTTCAGGGTGAATGAATCTGAACCTTCATTTTAGAATTGTTCCCTTTTAACATCAAAGTTATTTTAGCAACCAGGAAACATCCATGCAATTTGAAAAATATTTCTGTAAAGATTTTGGCCTTTTTCAAGTACAGCTTCAGGATTGAAATAGAGCAAGCTCCACTAACCAAAGCACTGAAACAAATGTCCACAGATACACAAGATTCTGACAGGGTAATCTTTCCTGGATTTGCATTTTTACATACCTGCCAATCTTTAAAATTATAGATGGTGGAGAGTTATTGGCAAAAAATATATATTGTACATGTAAATTTTGCCTCAAAAAAACTGATAATGACCAATTTTAGACAAATAGTTTGCAAGTCACAAATTTTAAGCTCTTCTGATCCATGCAATGAACCCATAAAATGCCAAAAACTTTATGCATTGGAGAAATTGTTTGTTTAATTAACTATGGCTTTGACAAATCATTTCTGAGAAAAAAACATACTTTTGTGAAACTCTTCGCTACCATTATATCGAAAACAGAATTAATGGGAGCTACTGTATGCAGACAAAACTCGAGCAGAATTCTCTAGTGTATAGCCTGCAATGGTACAGCTGATTTCAAAAGTTGAGGGTAAAAATTTCAGCATCTCCCTCAAAATAGAAAGATCTTTGGCAAGTATTTAGGTTTTCTGTTAAATGACTATATATGAAAACATCAAAATTCTCTAAAAATTTAAGGTTATGCTAACGTGATAGGTAAGTTTAGATCATTTTCTTCTCATAGCAGTTAACTTTTACTTGGAAAAATTCCATCAGGCTTTGGATTTCAAACTGAGTTTTTAAAGTACATAATAATTTCGTTGTCTATAAAACTGTTCTTTATGAACTCAATACTCCTGTTATCTATAATAAAACTGCACTTAAGGATACCAGTCCCAGACAATAGAGAGTTCCACTGTAGTTTTACATACATACAATTACCTCCCCTTAACTTCGTTTTGGATATAACCTTAGTCGGGCTGGGCAGGGGAACTAAACAATCTACTATTTATAGCTGACCTGGTAGCTGAGTTGGTCAGAGTGACCATACTATTAGGGGGCCAAAGTTCGAATCCTACAATGCTATGACTTTTCTTTTCAAAATGCTTAATCAAACCTATTAACTCATTCACCCTTAAAATTTCTCAATGAACTATTCCAACCTTTGAATTGGAAGAGTTCAAATGTGTCTTCAGGGGTGAATGCATTATTTTGCACGTAAAAAAGTATCTTATTTATTATAGCAGTGCAGGGATCCCTAAAGCAAAAAGTAAATCTTTTTTGCCTATAAAAACTCTAAATTATTAAAATATTTCGGTGCATTAAAATTTACTTCATGTTCACAATAATTTTTCTTTGATCAGCTCTTAAAACCATTGTCTATGACTTTGTGAACCAACTTCTTATTACAAACTACATTTTGCATCCTACATTTAGTTTGAATTTTCAACAAATTTCACAACCACACAAACTTTCTCACAGATACAGGCTACAAAACTTCCAAACGGATGAAAATGAATTGAAATTGACTTGCACTGTCGCTTTAAACAGGGATAAATTTTCTCCTTTCTATTATTTTCATGTTTTTGCTGCCAAACTAAGCAACACAACTTGCCCCTGACAAGAAGAACTTTTGACATTTAGATGTCTAGATAACCGGAGAAGCAAACAGGATCAGACTTCGGTTTCTAAGGATCTGTTGAAATGTTATTACGAGTCGGATCTAAATATCATACGTTCATATAAACAGGTCTTCGGAAATGTTATGTCTTCGTCGACAAACTAGTTATTATGAGGAGAAATTTGAGAATGCCATAGGTTACGGTGCTAAATGGTTAGATAACCATCCTTCTGAGAGATACAAAGCTTCTATGTTCTAACCCGACGCTGAACATCTAAACTACTGCCCTCCGAGGAGATTCATTTTGACATTTTTGTGATTTTCACATGCATTTTGAAACACGTTAAAATGTGATAAAAGTGGTAAAAAGCAATAATTACGACTCAATCATACTAAGAAAGATCTGAGAGATAGTGACATCTCCTTACAACATAATCTGTTTCCTACCAATATATACATATATTCCATATCAACACTGCATGATAAACATTATAACTGAGTTCATCTAATACCGAGCCAAAACATTAGAACATACGGCCTACAAACCTACAGTTATTTTAAGATCCATCTGTTGTTCAGACATAAAACCTGTTTATGATGGAACCTCTTCAGCCCGACTTTGAATGTCAACAACAGTAAAGCTTACTGTAGATCTGTTTCATCCTAAGTTTGACCTCAGCGATACTTTCTTATAGATCTGTTTCATCCTAAGTTTGACCTCAGCACTACTTTCTTATAGATGTTTCATCCGAAGTTTGACCTCAGCGATGCTTTCTTATAGATCTGTTTCATCCTAAGTTTGACCTCAGCGATATTTTCTTATAGATCTGTTTCATCCTAAGTTTGACCTCAGCAATACTTTCTTATAGATCTGTTTCATCCTAAGACTAAGTTTGACCTCAGCTATACTGTCTTATAGATCTGTTTCATCCTAAGTTTGACGTCAGCAATACTTTCTTATAGATCTGTTTCATCCTAAGTTTGACCTCAGCACTACTTTCTTATAGATGTTTCATCCGAAGTTTGACCTCAGCGATACTTTCTTATAGATCTGTTTCATCCTAAGACTAAGTTTGATCTCAGCTATACTTTCTTATGGATCTGTTTCACCCTAAGACTAAGTTTGGCCTCAGCTATACTTTCTTATAGATCTGTTTCCCCCTAAGACTAAGTTTGACCTCAGCTATACTGTCTTATAGATCTGTTTCATCCTAAGTTTGACCTCAGCAATACTTTCTTATATATCTGTTTCATCCTAAGACTAAGTTTGACCTCAGCTATACTTTCTTATGGATCTGTTTCACCCTAAGACTAAGTTTGACCTCAGCAAGACTTTCTTATAGATCTGTTTCATCCTAAGTTTGACATCAGCGATACTTTCTTATAGATCTGTTTCATCCTAAGTTTGACCTCAGTGATATTTTCTTATAGATCTGTTTCATCCTAAGTTTGACCTCAGCGATACTTTCTTATAGATCTGTTTCACCCTAAGTTTGACCTCAGCAATACTTTCTTCCAGTACAACATTATAAGTAAAATGTCCAGGTTCAGAAGATTCAACTATGATCCAGTGTTCAAACCTATCCTGAAGACAATAACCAGGTAAAAAACACTAGGTCTATGGGAATCATTCACTCCATAGACCAAGTTGTCTATGAAGTTATTTCGAAATAAATCTCTATATATGCAAGCAAAACTGTCTTGGAGAAGTCCTGTCTTATGAAAATTCCAGTAGGTCTATAAGAAACCTATATCTCATGATCATAGAATTATTGTCTATGGTATGTAAATTTAAAAACTCTATAACTTTCATGACCAATAAAAGACTTTATTTCTATCATTTTAACTCCATACTTAAAATTGAGCACTTTCAACCAGTGAATTTGCTAAAATATTACTATCTTCTAATATCTGATGATTTCATCTGAAAGAACAGCTCAAAAATGCCATTTAAAAGTGCTAAGTTTTACCTGGGGGTATTTTACACATATTTATGTTTTTGATTATGAGCATGTGCAATATACCCCATGGAAATTTCAAAAAGTTGGCAAGTTCTTAAAAATTATCTAAGTAATACTTTTTACGTAAATAGAACTGCTACACCTTACTTACCTGTACTCCTCAGCTGTTTTACGGAGACTTGTAGTACTACAGTCAAGCTATCAGCGCCACAAAGAAACCATCTCCCACGCAATCTACAACATATAAAGTGCATCCTTCATATAAGATACTGTATGTAAGAAAAGAGTTTTTTGTATACATACATGTGTTTAATATACAAACTACAAAGTCAACATTACTATGTACTGATGTATCGCAATTACTATTTATATTCATTTCCTCCGTTTCCTGTATAAACAACAAACAAATTGTTAAGCAGTATCACTTATACCACTGATTGATTGATTGATTGATCGATTGGTTTTACATTCGCTTCACCAATGAGTAGTTTGCTTATCCAACAGACGAAGAAAAGGCAGGAAAATGAGTAGAAAGGCTAAAGTATGGAGTGAAGGGATAGAAGAGGGAAACAGAGGAGAGAAGGAGCCGTCTGTCCTATATATGTATTTACTGTATAAGTCTAGTTTTTGTAAGACGGCTCCTAGGTCTAATGTTGCCTTATCCTAACACTAGTCGTAGAGCAGCACCAAGCCTGGACCGGAAGTGAGGTGCTTAGCTGCCGTCAGTCACACCAACTCCCGACTATATACTTTGGAAGTCCTTCTAAATGTCTAATAAAGAGAGTCTTTAGTTCTATAGGCAAAAAAATCCACTTATACAACACGGTTTTAGCCTATATATATAATGTGTGAATGGGCAATCCAATAGATTTTCCTATCAAGTATTACACACCAAATCATCTCTATCCATCATATATTTCTATGAGTTGCTTCGTGTCAGGCTAAAGTAACATACATAACATTCTCAGTTTAACTCATTCACTCCTACATTTTTAAACTGGACTTGCCCAGACTTCAATATGGTAAGGTTCAAATGTGACGTTAAGGGTGAATGTGTTAAGGATCCTTGTTCCACTGCTGACAAAACACTAGAAAGTTCCACTGTAGGTTTCTGTATATAGAGTAACTTCCCCTTATAACTGCAGCATAATTTGACTAGAGTACTACAACTGACCAGTCAGATCAGTTGGTTCGACTGGCATTAAAATGATCTTCAATCCAGATTTCGAGTCCTAGTCTGGCAATATTATGATGCTTTTTCACATGCAGAAAAATGTTGTTGACTTAAGCTGCATATATCATCTTCATTATTTTTCACCAAAGTTCTACAAGGTATATTTTTCTTTTCAGACATAATTGATCAAACTTGAGTCATGCCATGAAAGAAACGTTCCATTAATGTATACTAACTTTTTGGCAGTGGTATAAGTATCCTTATAGGCAAAAATATATATTTCATTCATTCCTGAAACAGCGACAAAATACGGATGTCCATGTGACCACCTCCTTTAAGAGACCACCTGTGTCGAGAGACCACTTTTGATATTCACCATTGTAGTAAACTCTTTGTGAACTGAACCTGTCTGTATAAAGAGACCACTAGCATTAAGGTTAATTGGAATTCCACTTGGCACACAGGTTCCATACACTGGGTACACAGGTCGGATCTGATAGTCTTATCATAATGACCAGCACCAGAGGAAGATCAGAAACATGAATATCACATACACCTCACCATGCTGTCCATGTCTACCTACAGCGCCCCCTGCAGTCAGTTCAATAGCTACAAGGGAGGCACACTTGCTAGCCATAATAAATCATGTTTCCCAATTGATCCAAATGATATCTGAAACATTGCAGCATGCTCCCCTCTATCTTATGAAGGAATTCCAGATCATGCTGACATGACTCCATGATATCTGAGATTCAGATCAATTTACAATTCAATATGAAAGTAACATGACCCGACTAACTTTCAACATACATTTTGTCTCTGTAAAAGTCTATGCAAGCCCCATGTTCCCGACCTTTGACCCTTACTCCTCTCGTTTACATATTAAGTTACCTAATCTTAAGATCAATATCAATCAAAATTCATTTTTCCGTAAAAGCATCAAGATAATTTTATCATGTTACTTATATCAGAGGAGATAATGTCATTTTTTGAATTCTGGAACATATTACCAGTGTTCTTGACCTCTAACCTTTGCGCATATCATGTACAATATTACATATTTCTAAGGTCAACAGCAATCAACCTTAATATTCCATGAAACTTTCAAGATAATTCAATTACCTAACTCCTGATGTACATACCACACAATACAGATAGCATCTTCTGGTACACATGTAGGCCAACCTGCATGGAAAACATCCCCTCCCGGAGTCAGTGATCTTCACTGATCAATAACCCAAGATAAATGTACATATATACATATATCAGGTAGCTTCTAGCATTTCCACCGAAAATAGTCCAAATTTAGGTCAATTAAGCCCTACACCCTCCGTTTCTTTCACCTCTGTCTTTGCATAATTGAACACATCAATCGCTCCTCCCGCGGTGGCTAAACACTTGAGCGATTCAAGTCCTCACAACTGTTTATTGATCTACGGTAATCGATATCTACTTCAACATCTCTACTATTATAAAACCCATTTATTTTTCCATTACATGTTTTTCAAAATCAATATTTTTATATATTACAAAGGAAAATGTATTAAAACCAGGATTAGCATCAAATGCTACAGATGTGAGCTGGAGACTAGATGGAGAGGAACAATAATAAGCTGAACATTCTTTGTAAACATTTTTCAAGGTCAAATTATCTCAAGGTTCATCAAAATCAGGTAGATGTCAATAGCAGGCAGTATCATGAAAAGATGATGTTGGGAATATCTACATTTTTTAATTACTTTGGAGGTTTCTTTTGTCAGCAGGGTTCTTAAATATACTCTATTTTGTGGTAAGCCTTTATTTCCGCAAAAATACAAACAATGAAATTAGCACAAATTAATCCACTCTTCCCATAACTCACCGTTAACTCAACATTGTCGACATCATACCATTAGTCTTTGACTACTACTGACGCTTCTACTAATTCTACTGGTAGAACTATAATGTACCCTGGTCAGTATTGACATGAAATATGACGGGGAAAAATCTCCCAATCTGTAAAAAAATGAAAATGTGGAAGGAACGAATTTTACTTAGTAATTTGTTGGACTTGATCAGATCACTTGATGACAAGCATAAAAATATTTTGGAGGTGAAAGATGTTTTACCAGGTCAAATATCACAGGGGCATGGTAAAGATCCCCACCCCACAGTCCTTATTATCTGTATGTATATTATGGGAATCCATACATGCCCCTGTGTCATGTTCTGCAACTAGCATATTTAACCTCCCTAAACTGACCCTTTATAATTAGGAAACTTGTACAAACTAGATCTCCAAAGTAAGTTAATGTCCTGGTCAAAAACCTGTCTATTCTGTATGGAACGTTGGTCTGGTTGGTTTTCTGTATAAGAAATGTTTGTAACATTTGTTGCTTCATGCCTGACCAGAGACTGACCACTGATCTGAAGCTGTGGTCAAGGAAGCAGTCAGTTAAAGGTATAATTAGTAGGAAGGTCAATGTCCAGTATTGTAACATACTGTCCTAAATTACAGGTGTGGTGTTAAACGTCCTCACAAACACCTTGTGTGGGACAATAATGTACCTGTTAGGTTTATCAGATGAAGAAGAATGAACTGTTAAATTCAACTACAGTACGCCTCAGGTGATTTGGACCTCACACCATTACAGAACTGAAATTGGTATTATCACTACTCCATTGCTTCAAATGAGACATGTCAAATTTTAAAATGAATTCTTTTCCCAAAATAAATTGTAAAAATTGATTTTTTTCTTTGTTTTACTTTCGGTTGGTAACCTGATTTTGAATCCCTCAACAGGGATGTTTGAGTTTGAACTGAATAACTATGAAAAATATCAGACAATTTCTGCACTATCCTTGCGTAGACACTACCAAAAAAAACTGCAGTGCGGGAATAAATGTAATTGGATCAGTGTCATTCTGACACTTCTCCTTCCCTTTTATCACAGCAACACCAACATTGGAAACAAACATTTAGGTGACAGACGGTTCTACATAACTCATTCACCCCTGAAGACACATTTGAACTCTTCCAGTTCAAAGGTTTGAATAGTTCATTATGAAATTTCAGGGGTGAACAAGTTAAAGTACATTGTTTGCACTGATTTCATGGAATACTAATTATAAGATCAATAATAAGTATAGAGTTGAATTAAACAGAATTATTTTCAATGAACGCAAGTCAGTTAAAGACGTGCTTACTGGCTTCATTGTAAATATGTACATAACTGACATGTATTCAATTTCCAGCATGAACATTGTAAAAATGTCATTCTATCCCCGTAATACCAGGAACCTCAGTAGCAGAACACACATCTGTGTTATTTACCAGTACACACCTGTGTAACGTACCTGTTCACACCTGTAAATTAACACTATCAAACTGTAACACCTGTAATTACAGGCCTCCACCCTTTTAATGGCTGTAGCTCTACCTGAAATTACAGCCCAGGCCAATGGCATGGAGGTTTTATATGCAAATACAACAGAAAATCACCATCCCCTACGGCCTTGAGTAATACCAGTGGTGAACTATAACCACTGTTGGCTATATCCATTGACAAGTTATTGATGTCCTTGTAAGTACCTTGCTGAACTTCCTCTCAAAGACGTTTCATGTCAGACAAACCCTTATAGAAGAATCCCAAATATCTGACCACTGTTCCCGTTTTGCGAGTCTAAAGAAACAAGGGGATGCGAGCAATATTTTACAACTATTACCAGGCCAAGGATTTCCAAGTGACCAATCTTGGCAAAATTCTTTACAGTTCATGAGAAATTCAACAAGGTGAAAATTGCCAACTTTTAAATGGAAATTTGAGACGTGAACATTTTCATCCATTTGTTTTACAGAATATCCATATTTTATGCATTTTAAAGTTGTAAAACATCAATAAAATAATTTACCATATCTATCCTATATTAAGTTGCAGGTGTCAATACATCAACTATGATTCAAATAGGGGGTGGGCTTATTACAGGACAATCAACAAACACCTGTTGAAAGTTAAAAATCAACTGAACTACAATAGATATGGCTGGGCTTATTACCAGGCATGGGCTTATTGCCGGTTAA